ACACTTTTCAAGAAAGTCTCGGTTTTTTTTTCAAAAATTCCCACAAAGAATGCAGAACAAAAAAAAATGCCTGGTTATGTTTGCGTGAGTTGCATCGTTTCCTAGAGAAAAAACACACAGAACAAAAAAAACACGCGGAGCAAAAAAAACATAGTACGCTGTCAAGAGACTTTCCACTTACGTAGCTTCCCCGGTGAAAAGGTCCAGATTTCAGCCCAACCTGGGCTAGTGCCCCAGGAGGTGGATCTGTAATGATCTTTTGGTTTGGCGATCCCACCCCCGCTGCCCCCCAACAAATGGGACTCTACGGCCAGGGGTTGCGTCTATCAAGACTGTAGCCTGTGGCTTACCTCTGGCGTGTCTATTGGGCTCCCTGACAACCTAAGCATGCCGAGGCACCTTCGGAGGTGAACGTCCACGAGGTGGGTTGTTGGTTTGATTCGTTGATGTGGGGATTCCCGGGGTTTTTGGGGACCTAGGAATGTATGGCGACTTCAAATTCAAGCGTTAGGGGGCCCCTATTGAGGATTTTGTGTTTGTATAAATATATATATATATACATATTTATGTCTGCATAGGTATGCTTTGAGAGACTCCCGTGGCGCAGTAGAAGGGGGCTTGCGTATGCCCAGCTGGTTGAGTTGGCATGGTCCCGGGTTGTATTCCCAATAAACGTTCCCAGGTAAGCGTAGTTACATAGCGAATACTGGGTGCAGCGTATTCAGGGTTCAAGCTTACAGTAGGGTCCTGCATTGTCAGCACAGACCCCAGGTTCAAAATGTTCCAAGGCATATGGGGTTTTCAAGTTGCATCTTTAGGGGGTCCTTTGCGCACTCATGGGTGGCAACGGACCCCAGAACCTGAAGCGTTGCTCGTCTTCCTGTACACGCGATTGTAAAACGCAATGCGAAACCCAGGTGACTTAGAAGTTTGTTGAAGCTGTCTTTGTAGTCTCTACAGACATTGGGATCCCTATGCCAGGAGTCTGCTCATCCATCATCAGACCCTGGCTCCTTCTGTATACAGAGCCCTGGAGGAAAAGAGAATCTAGTCAGCCGCCCCCGCAAAAACGTTTAACAAGGGTTAGGCCCCAAGCCTGCTGCCAGGGTTTCTATCTGGAGCTCCAGCGCGTACTACCCCATGTGCGCAAGTGGGTGGAAGGCTTTTCGCTTTGGCATTCAGTTGGCTCTTCAAGATACCTGCAGAAGCTGTGCGAGGGTAGGGGGTCCAGGATTCGGAGTCAATGTTGATAGCAAGAACTCCCGTAACCGCGATAGCGCCAGAGCTTCTGGCAAACTTTGATTTCGTCAAGCTGGCGGAGGTTTTGTTCGATGCCAGCTTGCTTGCCTGAGCTTCCCTATTGCACTATCTTCTACGAATGTGCCGCTAGGCAAGTTCTTCCTGAAATGCACATGACTATCTACTTGACGGTGTGCTTTTTTCCCATGGGGCCACGGTAGATTTCAGGCAACTACCACGCAAGCACAGGTCCAATTGCCGGAGCCAGCTTAGTTATCCTTATAAACCAGTTTCCATGTCATGTTCGATGTTCTTATCCATGTGATTATCCTTCTAGGGCTAATGAATCCAAACCCCACACCCCGTATAACCTTGAACCCTAAAACCTAAACCCCCTAAATGTCCCCATCGCCATATCTGACCTCAGCTTTGAACCTTGGTATCTCGCTTGGGCAGGCTCGACGGGATCAACAACGCCAAACTTGTTAAATGTCATCCTCCTGATGTCACTGAACCCCCCAAAGCGAGATTGAACATGTCCCTCAAGCTAATTTGCATCGGTCCTCAGAACGACACGGACCGTGAATGAATACTCTGCCGCATGATTAAGCCAAGAGCGGGATTTGGCTACCCCCCAAAATTAGGACCCACTATTTATCATATGACGGGAACAGGGTGATGATTCTGGGGGCCGGCGTACCGACATCCTCCTACTACAAGCGGTGCATTCATACAGATCATGGTCGTCTGGCCTCGCCTTGGCAGTTCTGTTGCGCGCAAGAATGCTCAAAGGGTAGGCTCCCTTAAAGGTGGCTGTAGGGGTTAGGTAGGCCTTGGGGTTCAGGATCTACATCTATATTACATGTACTTTGAGTCAGGCGCGCGAAGTAAGTATACTCATAAACGCCCAACAGCTTATAGCCCCCCAGTTACCCTGACTCTTGATCTACTTTGCAAGTCCCGCTGACCATCCAAGCGCGCGGAAGCCCTATTTTATTGAACCCGCATTGCGCTCGCAGGCTACATCGAGGGAACCCAGGCTTGGGTGGCTTGTGAGGGAGGTATGTAACAAGAGGGTTTTAGGGTTTAAGGGCAAGGACAACGAGAGCAAGTCGCGCAGTCTCTCCCCAAAAAGGGTTTAAGGGCTTAGGGTTTAGACCTGGGTAATCCCAAGCTCCCCATCATAGTCATATGATAGTCGTACGCTTGGGATTGCCAAAATCCTCTTATGGTAGCCATGTTGAAGAAAGTCAATGTTGCCTATGCCTCGCACACAAGTATACCTGCCAGCGATAGTTCACACGGGTTTTGTGCGAGTGTTCCTGCTGTGTGATTTTTACCGCAGCGTCTACCTTCACAAGATGGCTGGTGTAAATCTACATGAGCTATAGTCTCAACTCTTTAAAGAGCGTTATATACGGGATTATATATGGGAGGATTTTGGGGTTTATTAAGGGGAAGACTAGGAGTAAAGACTATAGCTCACATGAGCTATATCCACTTTGATCAAGGGCACTCTGCTGACTCCGCGGCACAGCTTTGGGCTCAAGGGTAAGTCTTCCCAGTACCTTCAGAGCTCAGATCCGCGCAATGGGGACACTGGGTCCATGATCTGGGGCCATGGGTTCATGTGCTCTCTCCTTTCTAGCATTAGGAGTCCTGAGTTCAAATGCCGAAAGCTCGAGCAAGCCCTGGCAGGGATGGTTAGGCGGGTTCGGATACGTGGCTCCTCGTTGGGGTGGTGTCCTCCAAAATCAGGATCCGTGCATATTGGTGGCGTAGGGAGGAGAAGTGTTTTCAGGTGTGGCAAGTCAGGAAGCAGCAAGGATTACCATCATTAGAAAGACTAAATACACTCATATATGCGTCAAGACGTGCGCGTGTGTACCTACACGCATATGTATGTGTGTGTGTGTATATCTATATATATATATCTATACATATTCGCAATGTTCATTTTTCAGCGGTAATTTCCTTAGGAAGGCTCAGACTCGAAATAACTGCCCTCCACTAGCTACAGAACCCCCCCCCCATGGCACAAACCAGGGTGGGCGCATGTCATAGATGTATAGCTATCTATGAACCGGTATCTGTAACAGATGCTTTTTCTGTCATTGGGGTACGCAAGTGTGGGCCCAGGAACTGTGGTTGCTGCGGGGGCTCCAAGAATCAGCACTTCGAGGGACTGGTCGCGCACCTGCCGAGCATGGAGGGCAAGGCACACTTATCATTGGCTTCTTGTTGCTGCTCCAGTTTGAGAAATGAGAAATGTGCTCTCTCAAAAGCTGTTGGAATCCTGTTGCAAGCCCGTTCCAAAATTGTTGGGTAATCGTTTAAACTCTTCAGTCCTCAGAATTACTGGTGTTATGAGTTATGCTCAAGAGTAGAGTGTAGAGGTGATGAACTTGCACGGTTTCAGTGATTTCTATCCTTAGCCCGGGATCATGGCTTGAGGCATGAGGTCTTCGCGGGTTGAGGGATCAGTAGCCATGATGAAAAGACTGTCATGAAGAAGAGACAATCAGTTTAGATGAAGATATCGTAGTGTGGGTGTCCTCGGGTGGGCCGTATTGCGTTGCCCTAATTATATAGAAGCTTAAGCAGGCAACTAAACGCATTTCCGCTTTGCCCGCAAATCATGTGAGCGCGTCCGTGTGTATCAGGATTGCAGAATATCACGTTCAAAGCACCACCTGGTCAAAATAGGGTTTAGGGTAACAAGCCAGCACGTCGAGAACCTGAATTTTGCTGCTTCCTTGTCGTTTCTTAGAAGTAGGAGACCCAGATAGCATACCCTGATCACAGGCTTCTGCTTGGAGATCCTGTTTAGAGGAGTCAGGGATCCCGGCTTCAACGCCTGAAAGCCAGATAAAGCCAGAACGCGGAAATTTTCTTGAACATGGAAAAATTATGGGAAAGCATTCCCATAGCATTTACATTCCACCCTGCCTCTGGCGCAAACTCTTCTTACAACCTCACCCGTGCTCTCCAATCCGAGATTCTAAACGGCGTTTCAAACTCGAGGTCGTAGCTGTGACTGGCTGCACTTCCGGCACGGGACGGATCTTTGCGCGCGTCTGCGCCCGCAAGGGGGCGAAGGTTGGCATGACTTCAAACTAGGCGTAGCAAAGGAACATGCTTGGGGTTTAGAGTTTAGGGCTTGTGCTCTTAAAGCTCACTGAGGTTCCACAAGTGAGCTATGTATGGACTTCGGATTTGTAGTGAGAGGTCTGTTGGGGATTGATTTGCCTGCTGGTGTTCAACACCCCCCGCTTCCCCCTACGCTTAAATATGCCTCCCGACGTACTTTATTTTGCTCTTGACAGGGAAAATTCAGTACTGGGGGGGTGGGTGCTGTGTCCGTTGATCTTCCCTGCGAAATCTACTACTTCCTGTTCTACAGATTGCGAAAACCCATTGGCCTCTGAGCCTCTGTCCTTGGACACAGCGTGCCCGCCGTACTCTTGAGGGCTTTTGGCGCTCTGTTTTTATGCAGACACGATGCCCTATCAACCTTAAAGCCCAACAACCCTAAACACGCTGTAAACCGAAGGAACAGCCTGTGCACTCATGAGGCGTCTTGCAACTAATGCAAGACGTTTGCTGCCAGCAAGCCGGAATGTCAGGTCTTGTTGCAGATCTGCCATCGCGGCGGCAGTGTAAAAAGACGGCCACCCTCCTCCAAACTAACTTGCAACCGGTCCAGGGCCCCTTGAGGACTATTAGCTGCGAAGCAGCCCAATATGGGTTCTGTGGGGTTCCGTTTTGCTTGACACAGGATGGGTTTGCTGTCAAAAAATGCTTCAGGCAGGTTATCCTTGGCACCCCACAGGTGGTGATGTTGAACCGCTCCTCGCAGCGCGCTGACGAAGCCTACACCTACCTTCAGCAGGTGGGCGCTGGACTGGGGTTTCCACGAACAGAGCGGACCCCAACCTGGCAATAATCCTTCTTATAGGGACTTCCAAAGAAGTGGCCCCTGACATGCAACCGCCTAAACCTCCAAACCCTAAACCCGAAGACCTTTCAGGGTTGGGATCAAGTGGGATTTCCAACCAGGCAGAGTTTTTGTGATTGTGTGCGCGCACGCCAAAGTTACAAGACATCTCCTTGGACCCATACCTTGGTGGATACTGTCACCGCTCATGAACAGTTCAAAGCATTTAGAATATGATTATATGAAGCCCTTGATATGACCCCTAATATTATAGACAGTTACAAGGTGGGTGCAGGACCCAAAGCCCTAAACCATCAACCCCACATATGGTCCTCCTTAAGTAGATAGGATATGGCTGTCAGTATATTCTAATCAGATCCCCATATACCCCATATTAGATGTATTTAAGGGGGGCTATAGGGCTTCGGCGTTAAGATTGAAGGGGGATACTAGGAGTTCAGACTATAGCTCACGTACCCTCCAGGTGGCGAAGAGTGCAGGAGCTCCTGAGCCTTTGAACGTGGACTGCGACCTCATGAGCCACTCAGCTGCCATGAGACAGTTGAAAGATGTTGAAGGGGATTATATAGGGGAGTATTATAGGGGTTATGAAGGGGGATGCGAGGAGTTTAGACTATAGCTCATGTCTCCCCATGCCCTCGCACTAGGGAGGGGGGACGAATTTTTTTGTTTTTCACAACGACAAGAAGTTGGGGGGATTGTTTTTGCAATGCCTCCAGCTTTGGAGGTGCTTCGCTTGGCCTTGTTGGGTCCGTTTGCCTGCTAGACCCGGTAAAGACATTGGAGTTCGCATGTTGCACTGGTTTCAACAGATCCCCCAGCAAAATGGTGCATGTATATCTTTAGTCCGAATTGATTGTCTGAGCCTGCAACAGGCTCCAGCAGGTCCAGCTCGTACTTTCATGCGCGTTTCCAAGTGGGGATCTAGAGCTCGCAAAGCGGGATTTACGGCAAAGTATAGGGTGCGGGCAATATCGACACATGGGGTTTTGTTAGGTGCAGCCAGATCTCAACTGGGCTTCAGAAAAGCCACTCTAAGCCATCTTTGCGGGAGATTGCTTAGGAGATAGCTAAACTTGGCAGTCCCCATCTTTTGTGTTTTCTTTTTTGTTTGGATTCCTTTGTTGCATGAGGCTTTTTGGGGAGTTGTGCTTGCTGCCACGAATAATTACGTTGTCCCCGCCGGAGGATCCTTGAGCATTACAATTCCAACATGTCCGCCGCCGCTTTAGTGATCCTTCTCGAGGCTTCTTTTTGCTTGTTCTGTTTCTGCTTTTCCTTTACATGCTCCCTGGAATCCCCACATCCAACACCATTGTAGAGCTCATCCGTCTCAGTGGACTCAAAAACCCCGAAACCCTAAACCCCCCAAACCCTGACCCCTAAGACCCTAAGACCCTACTACCCCTAAAACCGTAATCAGACACCCTAAAGTCCTAAAACCCTCAAACCCTAAGGCTTCAAGAGCGTCCGCGCGGCGGCCGAGAAGCTGAACTCGGATCTGAGCAGCAGCGGCCTGGACGTCCTGTGCAACAACGCAGGGACGCCTGCTGCGTCATTGGGTTAGTAGCTGAGTCTTTCAAGGTACATGCAGCTCTATGTGTAGAACTACACCGGCTCCATATGGTACTTTCCCTAAATAGGGGGACCCCAATATAGGCCCCAAAATATTACCATAATCCTTATTATGGGGACCCCCCAAAATGGTACCTCTTAATTTTGGGAACCTCCCATATGTATTTACAGAGGCGAGGCCTGGAGGGTTTAATCTTTTCGGGGCCCCTTCTGTGGTATTGGAGGTGTCAAAAAACAGAACGCCTTTGGGTTACGTGGGAGTCAGGGGGGGATAATGGGCTCCCTACTTCTGTCGATTGAAGATTGGTAGCCTTGCTGCCATGCCTATGGCCTATGATTCTTGCTAGTTTTGCTTTTGAGGTGCTAATAGTAGCCATAATGCCGATGCGACTGCCGTTCCTATCATGGTTCTTGGCTCTATTGGCTCTGTCTCAGAAATGGAGGGGGGGCTCTGCATTGAAACAAACATTTAGGCTAGTTCACCCAGTTCACCCCAAACTGCTTGTTTCTTCTGATCACGAAAGTTATTGTTGCTAGCTTTGCTGTTGCTGCATCGTGATCTTGGCGCTCATCTTGGCGCTCTGGTGCTGTTGTTATGATGGTGATGGTTCTTGCCCGCGCTCTGCTTTGTGGTTGCAACCTGCAAGGAACCCAAGGTATGGGCTTCATGCAAGTCATGAGCTGAAGCTTCTAACATTCCCATTCATGGGTGAGCTTGTAGGGTCACAGTGGAAGCACTATGGAGTCGATGAAGCATGCTTTTGTACATAAAAGGTCCCCTTTCTAGTATTCACGTTTTTTCTGCAACTGCCGCGAATGTGTTTGTGTGAGGCGTTGAGATTGCAGCCACACTTTTGATCCTCCATATCTCCCGGCGCCAGGATCATGGGCTTTGGCGACAAGGCCACCCAGGATGGGTGCGATATCCAGATGCAGACAAACCACCTCTCCCACTTCCTGCTGACTTACCTGTGCCCCAGCTTACTTGGATTCGACATGTAGAGTCTCATGCAGCTGAGTTGTTTCTGAGCTGCAGGCTAGAAGGGTCTGGGTTCAAAGCTCAGTCATGCCGCATGTCCTTGCGCAAGTTCTTTCGGTGCTGGATTGAAACACGTGTCATGACGTAAAAGCATGAGGCTTAGTATGCAGGCGCGGCGCCTGAGCACGGTAGTTTCCAAAGGAGCTATGTAGGGTGTATAGAGGTTCAGGGGATGTCTTCGAGTTGTGGGGAATTACGTGGAAAAGTGAATTCGAAATAGACAGCTTTGTTGTACACCAGCCTGAAACACTCTTTTTGACATCTTTGTGCCTCCCCACTTCTCACCTGATTCACTGAGAGCGTAATTTTCAGCAGCAATGCCTCTGCAAAAGCCATGGAATGTACAAGCTTCCCTCATAAACCCGGATCTTTTGCGCCTTGCAGCGTTGAACTCCATAGTCAACCCCAAAGACTTTGCGCTTTGGCTTCACCAAATCCAGTCATTGCTGTATGCCTGGATTGAGTTTCAGGTGCATGCCCCTGCTAGAGAAGGCTGCCGCCGCCCACGGAGAGGCAAGAATCGTGACTGGATCATTGTTCAGCAAAAGATTCCGTTTGTGATAGCGACCTACATCAGCTTCCGCCTATGGCCATTGTATAGTAGTTTCCATTGTCTTTTCCATGATCCCTATATGAGCGACGTACTAAATTTCCTTTTCGACACATGTCTAACGTCGGTCAGAATTCTCCGAAATCATGCATTAAAACGAGATGGTCCCCCCAAAATAACGCGATCAGCTTTTTTGCGTTTGAATGCAAATTGGTTGGCAAACGAGATTCCAGGCCCGACTCAAGTGCTGTAAAACGAGGTAGTAGTAGATTTGGTCAGTTGGTCTCAAGCCTAGTAGGAACGAGATGGTCCCCCCAAAAATGCTCCGGAGTATGTGAAACGAGATGGAACAAGATTGCAGCACGAGCATGGGAATTTTGACCACAGACCAGACAACAAGTTTTGTCCGCTGCTCATATAACCCCAACATACTATACAGTAGTTTCCATTTCCTTTTTCATTATCCCTATATCCCCATATGAAGCCATCGTAAGTGCTAACGCGCGCACGGTGGAGTACCGTCATGGCCATAGCTGATGTGCCAATGGGACCTAGGGTTTCCATTTCATTTTCCATTTCTCCATTTGATTCACAATTATTCGTAAATAGTATAATATCCCCGTATACACCCCCCCCTTAAGAAGTGTCTGGGGGCAGATCAATGCTCCTTCTCTGCTTGCCTACCCATGGGGTTAATATTAGGGTTATACTGGGAGAATGGAAAAGAAAACGGAAATTATTACATTACCATAGGGTATATGTTGGGGTTATATTGCTTCTGGTTTTGGGGTAATGGAAAATTAGAACGGAAACTGCTAATGATGTGTTATATATGGGCTATATTGGGGTGATATAGGGATAATGGAAAATGAGATGGAAACTGCTATTTGGGGTTTAGGGTTTCTGGTGAAGAGCTAGCTGTGTCTGGCCATTGGCCTGCAGTGTTCCTTCATGACCTCTGAAGGGCTCCAATTGTTGAGTCTCCTGGGCTTCTCCCATGGCTGTTTCAAAGTTGGTTTCTACGCCTAGGCACCCTGTGTGAGTCTCACCTGAAAATCCGATTCATCAGTCGCTGGCCCCTGCATTACTCGAATTGTACATACCGGTAACGCTTTCAACACGCTTACGGCTGTCCATGGGCAGGCAACATTCTAATCCTCAAGCATCTCTTATGATCCCATGGTGAATTTCTGGAGTCAAATCCAATACCCGCCCCGAAATCAACACGGAAGCCAGAAACGGCGCATACAAAGGCCACTCTCCTTTCAAAAGGGGCCTGTGTGGGTTTCCATGTTGGTTTGGGGCAGGCTTTTTCAGGGCTATTCCATGTTCGTTGGCCTTGGGCTACCTAAGGTGAACCACACTAGCGCGGCGCGCGTCATGGACGGCGCGGAGCCCCTTAGCTTCTTTCTGTGATGTGCGGGAGGGGCATAGAGGATTTAGTATGAGTTCTTGGCCTTTGAAAGGGTCTTGCAATTCCTTTGAGGGCTTGGATAGGCTGTCTCTGCAGGATCTACAGTTTGGCAGTGACTTCCCCGCAAGCCCTATAGAACCCTTTATGTAGATAGAATATGGATTACATAATGGGATAATGGAATAGAAAATGGAAACTACTATCTAGGGTTTAGGGTTTAGGGCCGGGGGGTTTCTGGCTGTGTGCGAGCCCAGATGCAAAAAAGGGGCCGGGGGCGTTGAGGTTTGCTCCTGGTGGCAACCTGACAAACCTGCACATGGTTGAGCCATGCTTACAGCTTGGTTACCAACAGGGGGAGGCATTGGACTCATGAAAGAACTGGTGACTTTAGAACGACTTCACCCGACCTCGCCTTAATGGTGCTTTGCATAGGAAGTGCTCCCAAACTGGGTTTCTGGGATAAACCCGAAACCCTAAAACCCAAACCCTAAACCCATTATAAAGATGGCCAGACGAGCCTTCAGCTTTAAGCGTAGGATTTCAGGACTATCGAAAGCATACCGGGTGGAGTGTCTACCACATTGAATCAGCATAATGAAATTCAACGTGAAAGTTCTTCAAAGGTTGGAGCATTGCAGGGCGTTTCATGCGCTCCTAACTCCTAACAGCTGAGAAGCTAACCTGCACCAGGGAAAGCCCGATGTAGAAGCCTGAAAAAATACGGAACGACGCGGTTTTCGCAATCGACTCAGCTAAATTCAAGGAATTTGTGTTTTTTTTCCTTGTGAGGCTTCATGTTATGTACTCTTATTCTGTGTCAAGCACACTACCCCAAGTATCATGACGCTTTTTTGGGGGACCCCGAGGCACGCCGCATGCAACCCTATTCTGACAACCCTAAACCAGATCATTCCTTCTCCAGTAACAACCAGTCAGTTCAAAGCGCAGGGCTGGCCCCCAGCTTTCCTCTACGACTTTGTCATGTAATTGGAGCTGCAAATCGTAACATGTAGGGGTCTGAATAATTCAGAACGAAATGTTTATGGCTTGCGATGTTAGCCTTGTGCTTAGGCAATAATTACTCTATACATTCAGGATGCTGGGGCGCAGTAGAAGTAGAACCCAAGAGGGGCCAAATCTCTGGCAACCTGCTGACCCCAGAATGCTTTGTACCAGGAAACCCAACACTTCCCAAAGATCCGCTATGAAGGGTTCCCTAAGTCTCATTTTCTCTCTTTGCTGGGGCCCCTACATTGGGTCATTGATGAGTACGGTTTTACTGGTTTCGTTATACCAGACCCCAAGAAAGGAATAAGAACTTATCATCTGCCAGTAGTATCGCAGGGAGCACCCATCATATCTAAGATTTGGGGTCATCAGGTTCGGCAACAAGCTGGAGGAGAAGTCGCGTGATGGGTACTGCACGTTGCGGGTAGGTCCAGCAGGGTATGGGGTTTCCGCAGACCACATATATGGCAACAGATATTTGATCATCCTTATCGTAAAGACCGAATAAAGGCGCCTTAGATGTGTTCAAATGCCAATATAGACTGCATCTCAACAGCATTAGGGCTAGGGAAGCCCGCCATGGAAGGGCCTGAGTTGAAATCAGGGTCCGCTGTGCACTGAATCCTCTTGAGCGAAGGCTGCGCTGATGTGAGCTGTAGTCTAAACTCCTAGTATCCCCCTTAGTAACCCCTATAATAGTCCCCCATATAAACCCCTATGAAACACACTCTAAGCAGTTTAGACTATAGCTCATGTGTGATACATGTTTCAATCCCGGAGTCGTGTAAAGAGGGTTTAGGGTCTGTTAGGATGTTGGGTTCGGGATTTTAGACTTTGGGCTTTAAGGGTTTGGGGCGCTTATGCTTTGGCGAGCAGGATCTACGAAGGGAGTACGACATGTGCAACAGTCGAATCGACCTGTTTCAATCCAAGTTCCTGACGGCCAATGCTGGATATTTGAGGGGTTCCTTTGCCCCTAAACCCTAAATCCCATTCAAGAATGGGTTCTGTATGGTTCTGTCGCCTCCTAGCCAGCGTATATGACACTGTCTGACCCACAGGCGGTCTATGATTTGCCCATAGTCTCCCACATGACTTGTGTTCGTCCTTTTCCCCCTTTGTCTCTGCAGGAGAAGTACTTCTTGAAGAATGGCGGCAACCTAGGCGGAGACAGCAGCACCTTCTTCAAGGGTGCGAACTTTGTCTTCTGGCTGCACACCAATCGCTACAGCAAGTAGGGGAAGTAGTTGCCCAGGTCGTTTGGTTCTGCTCTATGGCCGAAGAACTTTCAACATTAGGTAGTGGCAAATCTGTTGGAAAAGAAACGGGACATGAAATGGACATGCTTTACATAGTGAGGTGTAACAGAGACCACAGGCCACGATGTCAACTAAAAATGCTGAACACTAAGCTTGGGCAGGGCTTCGAGGATTCGGGCTGAAATCGATCCAATAAATTTATGGAATCTGGTGATCTGTGCAGTGGGAACGCCTTGCGGTGTCAAGCTTGCACATTTGCAAAGTACGGGCTTCAAGAATCTAGATGGGGATTGTCCTAAATTGCTGTCAATACGGGGTCCTATATTTAGGTTCCTATTATAGTACGGGGCCCTATATAAATTTCCCCCATTTTGGGAACAGTAATTTAGGGAAACTTCCAGATGGTGGTCCTGTAGTCCTTGTGTAATCATATTACAAATAGACCTCAATACCTCATTATCATTTTGGTAACTATTTCTAGGTTTCTACACTAGCTCATCCAGGCCTCACTCTGGCGCAGGCGAAGCAAGGCTAGACTACAAAAATAACATTGAATTTCAACCCTCTAGTGTTTAGGGTTCGGGTTTAGGGTTGATTCTGCTGGCTGACACCCACTCGGCTGGTTGCAGGCACCTCAGAGAGTCCTGGTTCATAACTTGAGTTTATATACCCTGTAACCCCTATAGTTTGAATCTTTTTCCATTATCCCCATATATACCCCAATATTACCCCAATGGGCCACCCATCCTGAAAGCTTCGGCCTTCGACATCTCAAGCCATGAAAGCTTCCAAGCGCCAGCAAGCCATAAGTTCTAAGTGGAATCCTGATGGGTGGGATAACGGAAATAACACTATATAACGCACGTATAATCCCAATCTTCTGAGGTCCGATACCAGCAGAGCAAGCTAGCGAATGTGGTTTTCACGTACGCCCTGGACCAGCGACTGGGTTCTTGTTGAAGGCTTCAAGTTGCAGCTGCAAGGAAGGCCACAAGTGCCTGGGATTTCTCCTCCATAAACCAAGAGAATCTTTCAACCATCTGCAAAAGTCGGAATCCTCTACCCTAGGCCTTTTGTACGCTGTCCGAGTTCAAACCCAGGTGAGCAGGGTTTGTCTTTTCGGCATGCAGGAGCTTTGATGGAATTGAAGCTGGAATAATACTCGCGTAAGTTCTTGGCCTGCAGAACGTAGTCTTGCGTAGTTTAACTGTTTTAGCAGGCCAGGATACAAAGGTGCTGCGCAGAATGCTGGGCAGGCCAGATCGCGTATTCCGCGTAGCCTGCTACCGCAGCGGAAACAAGGATTCCGCGTAGTCTGCGTAGGCTTTCTTTGTTAGTATACGAAAATTGATAAGGAAAAACAATGCTCAGGTGTTTCGTGCATAAGAAAAAAGGAGTTTATCAAAACAATCCCTATTTAATCCCCAATAAGGACCCCCGTGTTCCTCTTAGATATGCACTTTCTTTCTTCCATCCCTGGACCCCCTGGCTTCCCCCGGTTTTGAGAGATTTCCCTATCAAAAGTTTCCGTAAATGAGGGATCCAATTTTCTAACGGACCCCTAAGCAAAAGTGCTAAACCCTAACCTGATGACGCGCTGGACGCACCTCAGCACAGCCACGGGCTTGGTAGCGCCCACGATGGCTTGGTACCGGAGCCTACTGAGGCCCAAAGGCCTCCCAAAGCACGCCTGAGCCTTTTTAAAGGGCTCTACCTACCTTCAGGAGGATCCTCTGAACAACCACAACATAAAGACATAATTGAATTTAGGTGCTAAAAAGCATTTGACAGCCTCAGACGGCGTGGGGTGGGTGATGAAGGAGATGGCCTTCCACTGTCAGGCCTTAGCTGCATTTCGCATTGACGCTGCGCGCATGCATGATCTCTGAAGCCCAACTTCAGCCTAACCATCACTGCCACCTCGCCATATCACAGCAAGCCCAAAGCCTTAAACCCTAAATCCTGAACCCTAAACCTTCAATCCTTAACCCTAGTTCCTAAATCCTAGGCTCTTGGCAAACATCCTCAGCCCTGAGCCCCGAACCCTAAACCTTCATCCAGGCGACTCCGCAAAGCTGGCTCCAAGGTCAAGGTGCTGGCAGCTAGGCTCTACCGGGAAATTGAGGATCTCGAAAGAAGTGAGCTATACAGTTTAGGACTTAGGGTTTAGTGATAGGGGTTATAGAATCTAGGCCAGTTTATGCCAGTTTATGTAGGGATTCTAGAAGATCATATTTAGACAGGGTTTGCATATGAGGGTCTAGGATCGTTGTTCAGAACTTAGGGATTGCCATCTAAATCTAGGGTCTGAGGTTTAGGGTGGAAGGTGCGATGAAAGAATCCATGTGGGATCTTGCGAAGGCTCTTGGAAGTACAGCCATACAAGATCCGTCCCCATTCCCGCGAACCTCGCGTGAACACTTTGCTTTCAGGTGGCACACCCTGGCGTGGCACAAACGCAGCTGCTTGGCCTATGTGGAAAGCCCAAGTATCCAGCCTCGAGTTCCACAATCCAGTGGAAACGAACGTTATGGTGAGAGCTTTCATTTTGGCCTCTCCAAGTTCTAGTAGAGATGTATTTCAAACCGACGCTCTCCTGCCGCACTCCTACAAGGACAATCTCTATGGAGCTACGTGGTGCTATGCAGGGGTTTTTGTGGCCTAGTGGGAGCTAAGAAGCGCCGTGGTGGGCGGTGCCTGTAAAGCCAAGGTAGCCATCGTTTGAGCTTTCACGCGCGTTATCCTCCATGGGCTGTGCAGGGGCATCATTTAGATTATTCAGTGACTGCCCTCAAAGGGGTCTTACCCATGGACCATTACAGTTCCGTTTACCCCTTGTGGCAGCTATTACTTTAATGGGGGAATCGCCTACGGTATTGCACAGGTTCGCGTGCAAATAACTCTGCAGCCTCAATCAGGGAGTACGGCAAGCCCTTCAACCCTGGGGTCTCAGAGTTGCAGCAGTTTGTCCCTGGATGATCCGCCTCCTGGGCAATCATGGACCTGCACGTTCGCAACAAAATGGAATTAATTCCAGACCCATGACAGCATGCTGCAAACAGGATATGTAGAGCTCCATGCTTCCTAAACCCTTTCAAACCCCGAAACAAATGTGGAGCCCCAAAATGGGCACGACATCCCTTTTCATGGTTCGTATGAGGGCAGGCTTTGCCTTCATCCGGCCTAAGGCTGGGGCAGGGCACCATGAATGCCGGAGGAGCAGCTGACATGGAGACTTGACAAAACTTGGCACCTGAGAGGATGCTGGAGATAATTTGGATTAGTTGCAGGATTGAACTTTCAGGCGTGAGGGCTTACGGTGTTCTGTTTGCATGGAGATGCGCAGCGCTACGGCGTCATCCCTCTACCGCAAAGCAGAGCAAAGCAAAAGTTACTGCGCTGGAACCTTGAGGTGATGACTGATGTGGGAACCTTGTGATGCTGTTCGGTTCTCGTCTAGGTGGCTAAGATACTCTGACATGCTAAGCAAGCAACTCAGGGCTCCTGGATATCTAGGGTCAACCAGCACCTTTTTTCTCAGAGGGTGCATATGGTAGTTTCCCAAAATTAAGGTACTCCAATATAGACCAATATACTATAATCCTTAATATGGGGACCCCCAATAAGGTACCCCTAATTTTGGCAAACTCCCATATTTGAGACGCAGGGGCAGCGTGCTGGCCTGGGCCAAGGGCGTACAGTGTGGTTGGTGGTATGGGAGCAAGCATGCGGGGGAGTATGGGGAGCAGAGGGGCAGAGAAGCCATAGTCCAAACTCCTCGTATCCCCCTTAATAAACCCCATAATAGTCCCTATATAATCCCCTATATAAATAAGCACCCTTTAAGAAGTTTAGACTATAGCTCATATGAGACCAGGCGAACTGCTGCCAACCCTTCCTCGCTGTCATACCGAGTGTCTCTGCCCAGGGGCTACGGGATCAAACCCCAGCGCGTCTCTAGAACACTGCGCACAGCTTGCAGAAGAAGAAGAACAAGGAAGAATAATGAATAGATAAATAATGAATGAATATACATATATGTATGTGTATATATATATATACATTTTCATTCATACAGAGAGAGCGAGGGAGCGTTTGTGTGTGGATGACGGGCTTAACTTGATGGAATGTGGCGCGGAGCTGTGGATAGCTTCAGATTTCGGTTCGTAAGCCTCACTGTAGGGCTTCGCGTAAGTAATGTCGAAATTATGTGGAAACATTCCCCCTCCATTGCGTATTGTCTTGTACGACATGGAAAAGCAGCTTTCATAGAAGGCCGCATGTGAAAAATGCCAACGTGCAGTCCAGGAAAAGGTCCCAAAGTGGATGCGCAGCTGGGCGGCAATTTGCTAAAGAGGTTTGATGAAGGTGGGCTTCTGTCAAGGAACTTCAAATGAACTACCATTTAAAAGAACCCGTCTAGTTTTTGTTACCACACACTCACATGATGGAAGCCTAAGTTAATTTTCTTAGCAGCAACCCGGGAAGGTGATAGCTTCAGAGGTTGCGCCAGTACAGGCCCACACAGCGCCTGCAGTAGATGAAGCTAGCTGTCGCACAATCCAGGTGTTGCCGAGGCTCATCCTAGGTTCCAAAAACGTTCTGTACACGGGTCTACCCATGTAGGAGCTAAACGGGATGACGAAGCGTAACCTACAAAAGCTGCAAGTCCCCGGAGGAATGCACCCTAGATGGTACTAAGACCCCGACTTTATTTAAGGTATATTCCTTACGTCAGCGGTACTGGGCTCCGTGGGACTACTTGTCTTGATTACTGTTGCCTCAAATCGAAAGGGTGAACGCAGCACATCCCCTACAGCGGCATCCTCAACACTGGTCAAGGTGAGGCCTGGGTTATACAAGGGAGTATATAGGGGAGTACTATTGGAGTTATTGATTGCGTGATTTCACTCTGTAACACGTAGAAAGCCTTGAAGTCCTCGCAGCAACTCCTCACCTTGGAGCCTGCGACCCGTCGCCCGGACAGACTTGAGGCGAGATGATCATGAGCATGCTCTGCCAGTCAGAGGAGGATTGCAGGGGTTTGGTAGCGCTGGGTGATTCTTTCAGGTGTTGTCCTTCGCGAGCTTGATCGTTTGGGATACTGCGAAACTCTATCCTGTCATGCAAGCATCCAAGAGACAGATAGAGCAACAGGTCTCACAATGGAAGTGGGAAATTTCTGAACCCTGCCGCGGCCCATGTTTCTTCCGTGACACCTGCGATGGACCCAAATTCATTTAGACACCTCCCACACATTCGGTTTGCTTTGCTGCACCTGGGTCTCAAGAGTCATTCCTCAGCAAATTCAAGCCCCTCCTTACGGCCTTATCCTCAACGCCACGTCACAGCACCAAGCTGTAAACAAATCAGCCCTACGAGTTCACAAGCTACCAAACTTGAACTAACTTTAATTGGGTCGTTAAGTAGGTCGTTTGAGCTGCAAGACCACTTGGAGCTATATAGGGTCGTGCAATAAAGAATACAGAGGGTTACATGGGGTGGGTATCGGATTAATTCCTTGCCCGGTACCTCTATAAGTACCTTCAGGCGAGCCCCAAAGTCTGCATCTCGAAAAAAACGCGAACTCCTTGTGCAGGATGGCACTGTGGGAATCCTGCGAAATGCCTGCAGTCCCGAGGCGATCCCAAAACAATCCCTCTAAACCCTCGACTGGATTGTTGTTCAGGAACTTAATTGAAGTTACCATATTGGGGAAATCATTTTTGTAACTATGTGCCATTATGGGAACTTTAACTTAAGTTCCTTAAGACTCCTGAACAGCAACCCAGTCTAAACCCTCAACCCTGATCTCATCTTTAGACCCTACTGGTCAGGGACTAAGCTATTAGACGTTTAGGGTTTAGTTTAGGGCTTGGGGACCCCATACCACCTTAGGGGTATGTGGGGGCTACAAGGAGATTACGGGATTTGTGGATTTTGTTTGGGAAGCTCCGCCTGGCTGAGTTTAACCAGGCTTTTGGGACGTGAGCTTTTTGGGTTGCCAGCTGTTACACGTTTAACTGCGAGGAGGAGTCCTACACTGAGCTTAGAATTACTCAGCTCCGTACTCGCATGTAAGAAGGAGTTGAAATGTCGGTTGCTGTTTTCCTTCCGTAGCTTTGAGGGCCTTGTATCTACTGTGAGAACTATGAGGGGGGTGTTGGGACTGCATGGAGGGGCAGAGATGAAACCACATGATGGTGCAGCCTAAAAGGCACTGGGCCTCCCCACATACAAGATAACACTGCAAACATAGGGGGTTTCCCAAAATTAGGGGTACGTTTTAGGGGGTCCCCATAATGAAGATCATAGTATTTTGAGGGTCTCTATTGAGTTCCCCCTATTTAGGAACACTACCAAATGTCAAAAGACAGACGGCATATCGAACCCTTGCAGCAGTTGAGGGTTCAGGGTTTAGGGTTAAGGGTCAGGGTTCAAGGTTCAGGATTCAGCGTTTAGGGTTTAGGGTTGGGGTGTCAAGTGGGTGGTGATGTTGTTGCTGTCTAGACCACCTTTGGGGTTTAATTAGGGTTTAGGGTCCCCTACCCCGAGCTAGACAATTCCACGGTGAAGCGCCTTTGGTAGAAAAGTTAGATTTCTGGAGGACCGGAGTGGAAACTGAGGCCGCCATCGTGGTAATATCCCTCAACCCTGTATACACACCTACATGTATCCCTATACGAATCCTACATGATCCCTAGAAGCCTCTTTCAGGGGATGCAATGCGTTCCCTAAGCCCTAAACCCTAAACCCTCAACCCTGAACCCTTTTCATCTTCAGGCCAACTCTGGTGAGTTCTATGGCCCTCTCGGCCAAGGCAGAGTGGGGCTTTGAAGTCAAAACAATCAGTTCTTGGGGGAGGTATATAGGGTTTAGGGTTGAGGGTATACAGGGGTTGTATAGGGGAGCTAGGGGTAAACAGGTGTATCTTGGGGACATAGGGGTTACATAGGGCTTAATTAATTAGGGTAATTACAACCCAATCATCAGAATTGGTACTTGTAGCCCACTTATGACCGTACCCAGGGACTTATCATTGGGTCATAGGTGTGCTGCGAAGGCCACCTAGAAATTCATTCCTTGCACTGGGCCCCGACCCAGTAACAGTGCTAGAGCAGGCTGCACAGCAGTGATTATACATTCGGGAATAGGATATTTTGCAGCCTTTGCCTGGGCTACCTTAGTAGCGGCTGTAGTCTCCGGGCTCTGAACTTTGAGCAAGAGCCCAATTTGTGGGGTGTGTTTGCAACATGGGAGTCCCGATTACAAGCCCTTGAGGTCCCATTGGGTTGAAGTTGGGCCACCAAGTACAGCTCTACTACCATCTCAAGGTCTGGCAGAAGGTTTTAGAGGCAACCCCAGGCGGAGGCGCCAAGATTCTCAAGAGGCCCACCAGGTTTAGGGTTTAGTTTAGGGCGGGTTCAGGTTTTAGTTTTGCAGGTCCTAAATAGTACAGTAGTTTCCATTTTATTTTCCATTATCCCAAGATAACCTTTATATAGCCCTAATATTACCCCAATCGGTACCTATATCCACCTTATAATTGAGAATCAAATCTACACGAAAATGGACAAATGAAATGGCCACCGGGATTCTATAAAGGTCTTGAGGAAGCTACGATGGTACATTAGGGTTATATAGGGATAATGGACAAGAACATGGAAACTACGATAATCCCTTTCTGATATTAAACGGGGTCCCCTCATCCCCCTAATATTAAATATTCCGGGTCCCGAGAAATTATTCAATGTTAAAAGGTACATGTATTGAAAGAAATACATAAGACTCCCTTTAAAACCCTTTTAAACTCCAGGGAAGATGACTATTTAATTGATTAGTTTTATTCATTAATTGGTTATCAATTCATAAAGTCCGTTGAAATTGAATAAAGAATCCATTAGAATCACCATGAATCACCCTAATTCATGATCAGGTGGCCCCTTTTTAAAGAATGTTCTTCCGCATTTAAAGTAAACTTTTTTAGGCCCCTGAATTTGTGTTTTAACATCAGTGGGGGTTTTGATATTAGGGGGAAGGGGTTAGTATATTAGAGCTAGGGATAATGGAAAAGAAAACGGAAACTTCCATAGTATAAATATATATATATAGATACATACATATTCGGGTCCAGGATGTGCCACAATTTCACCCAGCCAAAAGCCAATGGTCAGCCCAGAAGGCCTTCGAAAAAGAATCGCAGGAACAGCTGCTTTTTCTGCAGACCCTAAACCCTAAACCCCCGAACCCCCAAACCCCTAAACCCTACACCCCAAACCCTAAACCCCCGAACCCCCAAAGCCCTAAACCCTACACTTCAAACCCTTAACCCTAAACCCACGAACCCCCAACTCCTAAACCGCAAACCCTAAACCCAAAGCCTTAAAGCTGAGGCCCTAGATCCTGAAGCTTTCAGCTATGAAGGAGAAGCTGCAAACAAGCCTACTTGGAGGGTCAGGGGGACTTAGTAACTAGGTTAATAATGGGGATGATTGGGGTTACTATATGGGTTCTAGGGGTTATTAACCTACTTACTAAGTCCCCCTGACCCTCCAAGTAAGATTTTACTAAGGAACGGCTCCCTGTACTGGCCCCTAATAAGGGAGTTTCCCAGAATTAGGGGGTACCTTTTTGGGGCTATATAATCCTTCAATAGCCTAGTGCTTTGCAAGCCTCTACATCCTAAACCGCTTCAATCAGTGTGTATATATATAGATATATATATATATATTTTTTCCCCGTCATATTGCAATGCCCTCATTTCTGCAAGTCACAGCAGGTGGCGCGACGGGCAAGCATGACACGTCGGAGTACAAGGGCCCCGTCGGACTGCTGAAGAAGGACTCAGCTGAGAAGGAATTGTACTGGAATATGAATACCTATGTAAGATTGTATCTTTTTGGGAGTCTAGGATAAGATTGCCCAACATCGTAAACTCATATCTTTTCGGGGTATAGTTGTCGATGCTCCAATGCACATTTCGGCATCATTGGTGTCGCTTCCCCTTACCTCTTTTTACACCTCGCATGATGCTTTCCGAAAAGAGGGGCCCCCAGATATGTTCCCAAGATCTTAAACCCTAAACCCTAATCCGTATGCTAGGGATCCCCCCAAAGGGATCTTTAAGTTCTGGGAACCCTCAAGTAAGTATTTTCCAACATCCCTAAACTTGCCGCCCCCTTTATTACCTGGAACCCAAATAACCTCCAGCTCGACAGGCTTTGCTAGTTTTACCTTTCAACTGAGGACTTAAGAAGCTCGGACAGCAATAATAGCAATACTACTAACAGTTTGATAAAGTAATGCGGTTTGTACTGTTGCTAGTATTATGAGTATTCTCATAGTCCCCCTTAAGTAGATCGAATTTGGCTTTGGGTATATTTTCATAAGATCCCCACATTCCCATATTCCCATATTCTATCTACTTGAGGGGGACTATATCAGTCCTGTAGGCATTTCAGGCTACAGGCAGTGTAAACCTAAACCTTAAACCTTAGTACAAGCATCCTGCCAGCAGAGGAGCCCCTGGCCGATGAAGCGGCGCAGTCCTTGCCGCTTTGGCCGACTTACCTACCAGTGTTTTAGTTTAGGGCTTAGGGGTTAGTGTTATAGGCGGCCGCTTTCAAGAAGGTTCTGGGGGCAAGATAGGGATCATATGGATATATATCTATATATACATATAGATAGGGTGGGGAGATTCTATCCCCCAAGAATGGAAATGGATCAGCAAATGCAACACGAAATGTAAGCTGGGGTTACAAAGGGGTATATTGGACCTAAATGATTTTGAATTTGCTGGTCTTAGATTTCCTGTATACATGTGTATAGGATACGCGAAGTAGACCTCAACATGACATTCTCAATTACTGAGGCCCTTATGTCACGTTGAGTCGCCAGGCTCAGAAGGTGCTTCAATCGGGGTTATTATGATCCGTGGGGGTTTTAGTCATCTGTTTATTTTGGGGCAACAGGAATAGAATCTTTGCGGCCTTTTCCTTGCCATTTTCCGGACTCAGGCTATGGACCGCTAGCGAGACTGTCACCGGCATCAAGTTCAACGTGTAAGCGATGAACTTGGATATGCCGTCCTTCAACCCAATTTCTTGGGAGGACCCCCCACCCTGTAATAGCGGTATAATAACAATATAAAGGGACCCTAATCTAATCCCTATTATCCCTTATAGTCACTATTACTGGGTGGGGGGTCCACCTAACCAATTTCTGATGTGCTGCTCTTTGTGGCCATAGCAAGTATAGCATGCAGGTGGCAGTTTCGTTTACATGCCTACTTTCGCCTTGAGGGAATACTGCGCGAACGAGGCGTGAGGTGTTTAGAGTGGGCTCTGGCGGAATTGGCCGTCATGTAGCCAATCGAGGTTGGCTGTTTGAACCACCTCAGTTTTCGCCGTTCTTGACATGTGAGCGATGATCTTCGATGGAGAAAGTTCATTTTCACAGGCAGTCAGATATGGCCCAGTTGGGCTATAGTTACTACACGTTACTACTTAGTAACCCAGACCCCTGATTAATAAACCCCCTCCCCTTAATGGGGATCCGAATATTAGGGCCCTTAAAAGAAGGGGGGCTATTAATCAGGGGTCTACACTAGGCCGTAGTATTTGGCACCCTTTGACTTGCAAGGATCATCGCTGTATATGCAGTTTTCACGGCCTCAACGACACTGATGGCGGGATCTTCTCCAAATGGGGCTACTAATAGTCATATTGGGGTTATATAGCGATTATGGAAAAGGAAAATGGAAACTACTATTTAGGGTTTAGGGTTTAGGCTATATAGGGATAATGGAAAAGAACATGGAAAGTACTACAATGGGGTTATAGGGGCCCTCAGGAATATAGCGGATTAAAAAGAATCTTGTTGGGATCCCTGTCACGGTTTTTCCAGGGTTAACTGCTCCCACATCCTTACTCTTCGCGACGGCGCCCCATGCGCCACTTTGCGCTTTGGTGCTTGAGCCGCACAACCATTGGGCTGTTCGCCAAAAACAGGGGTCCCCCGTATACACCCTAAAATCTCCGAAATATTTTAGTCCTTAAAAAGATAAGGACTCCCAAAAGAAGCGCTTGTTTTTGGAAACCCAATTTTCCAGCCGGTGCCAGTTGTGCAGGTTACCCCCACCCCTGGCTGCCAAAGCAGTCCACACCTGCCTCCTGCAGACTGACTTGGGGGTTGCGAATAGCTGCGCTGCAGCCAGAAAGATTCATAGAAGGTGCCTTCAATCCTAATCTTTTCTTGATGGTGTGTCAATGAAAGAAAGGTGAGGCTCCCGCCGATGAGGCTATGGGGCAACAAACTTATGTGCCTCCCATTTCATGCTTGTAATGGCATCCGCGCAACCCTGCCGACCTGAAGCCAGCCTGGCAGAAAATCCAAAACAGGCACCATTGAAGAGGACTCGGCGTTTCTGGCAGCTTTCACAAAGGGTTTAGCAAGGGTTTAGCACAAGTTTGAGAGATACTCACACGGCTGTGGCCTAGCATTGGGGGACGAATCTTCAAGGTTGCATAAATCCATCCAAAAACTCCTTCCTTCAGGGTACGTAGCTCATCATGGAGAGGGGTCTTCTAATCCCCTCCCGCTAATACTAAACCCCCCCCCCACCCCTCCCATATTAAGATATTCCCAAATACATCATAATATACCACAGAATGGGAGCATTTTGTATGAGGGGGGTGGGGGGGGTTAAATATTAGGGGCAGGGGATTCGAGGTTTTAGAGGCTCAGCATGCAGGTGCCTGTCTGCGCCAACATTGCGCAGGAGAGTAAAGCCATGTTCTATCTACTTAACGGGGACTATAACTTTTGAGAATTCTAGTGGCACCCGGAAAGTATTGTCGAAGTAGTCTAACCCTTGCAAGACACAGCCAGAACTGATTTCTGGGAGGTGACAGATAGACTTGTCCGTACTAGCTACCAGCTACCAAATTGCATGTGATCTATGTCTATCACCGATTCTGGCCGCCGCCAGAGTGCCACCACGCTTTGAGCACCACAGCCCCAAAGATCTCGGCAGTGGCTGCGTCAAATGGAAGTGATGCAACCAATGTCCCATATGAGCTATAGTCTAAACTCCTTAAAGGGGGGTTATATAGGGGATTATATAAGGGACTACCATAGGGGTTATTAAGGGGGATACTAGGAGTTTAGACTATAGCTCATATGGATAAGCTGGGATGATGATCAAAGAATGTAACGGCATTACATTACATGTCAATGACCTTTTGCCTTCCAAGGAAGGACGGCGGGACCAGTATCTTGCAGGAGCCCTTACAGCGCAGCTTTCTGGGCTAGCTCGCGGACAGAAACCCTAAACCTTAAACCTTGAACCCTAAACCCCCAAACCCTAAACCGCTAAACCTTAAACTCCTAAACCCTAAAACCCTAAACTCCTAAACCCTAATCCCTAAACCCAAGGGTCAATTGTTCAGAGCACACCTGACGGAAGTTGCTGTTTTCATTCAACTGCCACCCTCAAATGAGACCTCCTTACTTCTATCCACTCCCAGGCAACTGTGGGGGTTTCCCAAAATTAGGGGTTCCTTTCCTGGGTCCCCATAATAGAATATTTTGGGGTATATATTGGGGTCCCTCTGTTTTAGGGAAAGTACCATCTACCCCACTGTCACCATCAGAATCCCTATATAAACCGTTCATAACCCTAAACGCTAAACCTCTTCCGATAGAATTCATGAACCCAAAACCCCTAAACCCCAAACCCCTAAGCCCTTCACCCCTAAACCCCAAACCCCTAAACCCTAAACCCCTAAGCCCTTCACCCCTAAAGCCTAAACCCCTAAACCCTTCACCCCTAAACCCTTCACCCCTAAAGCCTACAGCCCTTTGAATTGAGAGAGCTCTTGGCTTTGAAGCCCCAAGCTTTGGGCAGGGCCTGTTTGGCATCCCCAGCTACTGGAAGCTGGCGGCTTCGCTGAAGCTTAAGGTAAAGGGATTCTGTACGGTGTAGGGGTTAAGGCTTCAGGATTTGCGGTCTAGGGTTTAGGATTTGGGGTTTAAGGTTTAGGATTTGGGGTTTAAGGGTTTAGGATTTGGGGTTTAGGGGTTTAGGATATGGGGTTTAGGAATTCTGTAGTCAGCTCCCCGTATTAGTGCTGGCTGGCCGGAAGCCTGCTGACTTGAAAAGCGGTAGTACTAAGGAGAGGAGGAAAGGTAATCATGCTCCCCAGCTGACTCATGAGCCCCTATAGAGGAAGAAACATATGATATAGGTCATAACCCCTTACAGTACCTAACGATCTAGGTCATCGCACCTTAGAGCAATCAACGACTCAGTTCGTCCCCCTCATAGTAGTTATGGAAATTACCAGCTACGCCAATGAGCACGAATAGGGGTTGTAATGGACCCTCGACAAGTAAATAGCGCTCTTTGAGGGCACGTACTGCGAGGGGGAATAGCCCAACAAGTATTCCCCTCCTTACCCAATTCATGTTGATTCATTTTGGATGGATAGAGGGGCAGCAGCGACGCCTGTTTTAGAGGGGGGAAGGATTGGAGGGGTTGCAGGTTTTCTATGTCCCATTCCAAGATCTCGGGGTGGCTGCTTGTAGGGGTGCTTTTCCAGGGTCATTGTTAAATGCCATTTTTTAACCCTCATCACATTTAAACCCAACACAGAATAGAAAACGATATTTCTCATAGCGCCCGAGTGAGAACCAGCTTCCAGATAAAGCTCTGAAGCAAAGTCGAGGCTGCAACATCAAGACCAGAATAAAGATAAATTAGCCCAGACCCTTGATTAATGAGCCCCCTGCCCTTAATAGGGCTTATTGTAGGATATTTAGGCCCTTAAAAGGAGTGGGTTTAAAAATCATGGGTCTACATTAAGATTCAGGTCCGCCAGTCGGGCCTCAGGGCTATAAGGATTAAGGAAAGCCTCGCAGGGTGCGCATCCAACACGGTTCAGGGCGGTTTTAGGGTTTAGGGTCTAGGGTACGTGGAAGCCTGTTTCAAAAGGGTTTAGGGCCTTTTCTAACAGGACTAACATGACTTCCATTTTGTATCGTTCGGCATCCGCAGGAACTATTTCCGAGATGAACAGAATCTTGCTTGGGGCTTGAAGATATGTCCCCAAACCCTAAAGTCCAGGACCTATGATTTTTCCCCCGAAGTCGCAAATGCCAAAACAAGCCAAGCTTAGACCTTCCAAGGGTCCCCAAAAATGGAGCCAAAGGTTGCAAGCAGTCGTACTTTGGGGAAGAGTAGGAGATTATTTGAGATTATTTGGGGGTTTCTCAAAATTAGGGAGGTCCCCATAATAAGGAATATAGTATTTGGAGTCTATATTGGGTTCCCCTATTTTGGGAAACCACCATTTGGAGGTTCGATTTTTCGCATCCAGTATTTGTGTTATGGCCATTGTTGCTACTTCTGTCATTCGGATTTGCCGTACGTGGTTTGAATTTATTATCGCATTGATGGGTTTTAATTGCTCAAGAAGTCAACCTGTTTATTGTTTGTTTACAAGATGTTTGGAAGATTGCCATTAAGTGTTCCTAGTATTTGATTGCATGATGATTGTTCTCTGTGTCTTGTAGCCTTTGAAGGTTTCCAAGTGACATGTCCTATCATACCTGCGGTTTCTGAACTCTGCAGGCAGCAAGTTGATGCGGTGTAAAATCTTCGGAAACCTGCACATGATGGTCGTTGCAGTGCTTACAGCCGTTCAAGACCTCCAAAAGCCAATATATACCCTATAATACCTATATAACCCATTCTAGTAGTTTCCATTTCCTTTTCCACTATACCAGTATAACCCCAATATATACCCCTATAATCCCTATATAACCGCAGCCGCCTTTCGCAGGGCTCCACATCCTCTGGGCTTTTTTGCGGTATTTGGAATCCTTGCAAGCCACGTGCTGTCTGTGTTTGCGGTATTAACTGTGGAGTAAGGTTTTGTGCTTGCAGGTTTTTGAATCGGCCCAGAAATGGTCACGTGCAGCATTTGCAGGCTTCGAAGTTCGAACGGCTCCAATTCATGTACGTGGTTCAGCAGAATCTGCAGTCGTCAGCCTTCAAAGAACTCCAGAGCCTGAGTTGTGAGCGCCTGCAGTTTCCGAATAGGTAGACTCTGCTATTCACAGCAACTGCTGGCCTTGAAGAGCTTTTCAGTCTGCAGCTGGTAAGGAGCTCCAAATGCTGTAGGGTCTACATGGTTAACACTTTTGTTGTATTTGCATCGTTCCAATCGCTTGAGAAAAGCCTGCCTTTGGCAGTATTCATGCTGGACTTCTGAAACACTCCAATGTTAGCACTTGGTGTACTGGCAGTCGTTGAAGAGCATCACACCTTGCAAGCAGCCATATTCCCACGCAGCGGCCTCCTTCGAACTGCCATATCACGTGTCTGTTTGAAACAACATGCTATGGATACGAGAATGCTGTGATGTGCACCCATCTGCGTCCATTTCTACAACGGTTGGTATGTGTATGATCTCGAAATAGGTTCATTTTGAGTGGGAAATGTGTCCAGATCCTTTCAGAGTTTACCGCGTGTGATCCAGATTTTCTTTGGATCCCTAACTCGCCCGTTGGTACTCCTGGCAGATGCCTTGGAGAGGTACGTAGGGGGGCCTTATCGAATATTGGTGGCAGCATTTGTGCGGGCTGAGGTTACTTAGTGGCATATGATACATGGTGGCTGGCTGCAATTACTGCTTGTCGCACGGCACTTAACTGGTATGCCCTAAAACAACATTAGCAAAAAAAGGATTTCGGAATGGCCGCATACTGACGCGTCACAGGTATGGATCGCATGCTGGAAGACCGGCGTAAGTGTTGGGCAACTTAACAGAGCAGGCAACAACCTGTCAAGAAACCAGCAACATGTAAGGTTGCCTCCCCAAGAGCACCCTCAAAGGCTTCCCGGCCTCAAATTACAACCCTTGACCTCTCACTCTGAGGGCCTCTGTTTTTAGAACTGATTCTGCGAGTGCAGCCCCTCTACAAACCTGCAGGTTCTTATCAGGTTGGGTCGTCTAAGCCCCCTCATGTCCTGGGGTTTTTTGGAGGATGAGTAAGACGTAATATGCGGAATTGGCGTATCTAAAGATAAGAAGGTCAATGCAAAGGAGACAGCCGTGTTTCTTGGAGCTGTGACCACGCATTAATTTGCCGACACGTCCTCTTCACACAGACATACAAACATGTTTCGTTTCCTCGCCACGCTAGGCAGCTGGCATCTATAGTCATGTTTCACCACACCGCCCACGCTTGCAAATCTCAATGCGATCGATCGAGTTGAACTGCTTTTTTGAGGACTAGGTGATCTCCAAAAATCATCAGCACAGGTTTACGTCCCAACAAGCCAACCCGCATTGATTCCCGACCCTGGACCGTGGACGTTTTACGTAGAAGGCTTGCCAAAGTCAAAGCCATGGCCCGGAATTGCATTCTCGTTGCAGTAGTCATAGTACTAGTAGTGGTCACGGGATTTGGAATGGGAACGGGGTGTAACTTCCGCTGGTACGTCTTTTCCATCACAAATCACACTCTTGCGTCACCCTGTGATGCCCTCATGGCAGGGTTAAGGCAGCCATTGTCCTTGACCCCCCATTCCTTACAACCTTTGCCAGAGGTCCTATTTGAAGTTGCTATTCCTGTTTCAGTCTTTGGGCGTCTCATTGCAGTCAACATACGCGCCATATACGTGGTTGCGTTCCATTAGGACGAGTACGGTGTCTCGAATTAGTTTTCTTATCCCCAAGTCCAAGAGGTCTTCACGGGCCACAGCCTGGGCGCCGCGCTGGCAATCATGGCTGCCACGATGGCGGAGGCTTGCTGCACATTCCCGTGAGGGCATTCAAGCATTCGGTTGTTGATCCTACATTTTTCATGAATTTTGGCTTCGCTGCTGAGAGACCAATTGTAGAAACAGAAATTACTACAGTAGTTATGACACTAATACATAACAATAGTAACTACAGTATTAATCATGCGGGTAATAATAGTAGTATTAGAGTGAGTTCAGGCCGAGTCCTGGCCACGTGTACCGGACGCCGTAGTCGCCTTTGCTGCTCCGCGTGTGGGCGATGAGGGTCTCAGCTCCTTGCAACAACCAGTGGTGGTAGTAGCAATAGTAGTAGTAGCAGTAGCAGTAGCAGTAGCAGTAGCAGTAGTAGTAGTAGTAGTAGTAGCAGCAGTAGTAGTAGAAGTAGTAGTAGTGATAATAATCATAATGCAGCCACTCTTGAACCACTGTC